GCCAATGTCTTACTAAGCCACTGAGGCTCCCTTAAAAGAATAAGCATGACAAGATTATCGAAAGGAGCAAGAAGAGCAATAATTATGCATGTAACAAAATTCTAATAATAATCTAAGCAATAACATGTATATCCATGTACATTATCTTTTGTAAACCTATCAAATAACGTTTGTTATTCTATCGTTAAATACATGTAATGTGTCTTACTTCCTTGTACACATATCCTCTACAACTGAAAACAATGCATTTGATATGTAAACATAACAAGCCAACGGATATAATGACCGATACCAATATTTCACCAGGTAATGAAAGTATTTAGAAGACAACAAAAATAGATTAAGAAAAACAACCCATCAATTATCAAAAGATATTGAAAATCAAGATTCGTCTCATGAACATACTGTGTATAAATGTCAAATTAATTGAATGATAAATTTAGCTTCAAGAACATCCACAAGAGGACAATAAATGACTAGTTCTTGAACAATGTGTAAATATAAAGTTATTTGGATGATTATTTGACTCTTAGAGCATCCACAAGCAAATGATGTTGATGTCCAAGGTAACAATATATACAATCTATTTTCAACGTGAGCAGGACCGTATATAGATTTTTTTTCGGGTGTGGGGGTGTTTAACAAAATGAGACCGACTGATGTTAAGATCCCTAATACAACTGATGCTCAGGTCCCTAATACAAGTGATGCAGCCACAAGCCGAGCATCACTAGTACAGGCTTTCTGCCCCCCCCCCCCTTCCCCGGGTAATTTTTTTTAATCCAGTCACTGAATTGCCGTTTCCTAGACTTTCGGAGAAGATTTTGCAACATTATGATGGTCAGAAAACACTTATAGCAGGAGTAAAATTGAGTACTGCGCGTGGGAATTCATGTTATTTATTTATAATTTTGCAAGAATGTACAAAGTACTGTAAATCTGTTACAATAATGAAAGTGATAAGATTACAATTCATATGCAATCCATAAGAATTTCTAGAAGGAAAAAATAACACTATTGAGGTGTGTCCTGGGTGACAAATCTACAGAAATAATTGCATCTTAGCACAGATCCGAAAGGAGTAAAAAATTATATTTTTTGTCCACTATTTTATTCAACTTCTAAATGACTACAGTTTCACAGACAACTCTATTCTAAGCAAATTTACCAGTAGATGTACTATAATACATGTACCGGTATCTACATTTGAAACTGTAAACAAATTACCTCATCTCATCCCAACCACTTCAAATTTCCAGGTCAAGAGTTTAAGGATCACACTGTAAAACTATGAGCTGTCATTAAGACAAAATCAAGATTGTGTGCAACTCCAAGGTCAATGCACCAAATCATTACAAAGATACAGATGCTTTAAATCAAAAAAACATACAGAATATAAGTACTGACTGCTTGTGCTGATGGACAAATGCCCTACATGTATAATTATATACGTATCGATTAAGAATACATGCAAGCCTTCAGGTCAAAATTAATGTTTTTGAAAGCAACTTGGTGTCGAAAATCGCAATTGGCATGAAAATGTTTTTGGGGATAAATAATATGGATCTTAATATTAAAATCTAACCCTGTTTCAAAAACATATGGTAAGAATATCAACTGATGGTCAGACTGTTCGGTTAACCAGAGGACTCCAGCTCTAAGCTGTGGTAGATCATTATCCAAACACAGAAAGAGAACCAAACAATTTGTTGTCAAGAACTACCATACAGATAAAATTGAAAGATAGGTTGGCCAGGCAACAAAACACACGCTGACAGCAGCTAAGGGTTATGACTCTAGAAGTAATTAACGAGAACTGCTGAAATTCAATTGGCTTCTCCATTTTACTAAACTAAATAATGCACATAAATTTCATACAGATCTAGAAGTTATGTTATAAATGTTGTATATAAATTTCATAAAGATCAAATGATAACTTTTGTAGCGAGAGCGGTTACACGTTTCAACAAAGTGAAACAAGGGCCATAACTCTAGAAGTTATAAACCGAAATTGATGAAATTTGACAGGCTTTTTCATTTTACAAATTTAAATAATGCATATAAATGTCATACAGATCGGATGGTAACTTGTCATTCGAACATTCACAAGGTTCACAAAGTAAAACAAGGGCCATAACTCTAGAAATAATTGACAGAAATTGCTGAAATTCAATAGACCTCCATTTCACAAATTTAAATGATGCATATAAATTTCATACATATCGGATAACTTTCATCAATCCGGCATTAACATGGTTGAACAAAGTTAAACAAAGGCCATAACTCTAGAAGTAACTATTGTAAATTGCTGAAATTCGAATAGGCTTTGTGGTTTCACTAATCTAAATGATGCATATAAATTTCATACAGACAAGATGATAACCTTTGGCGTTCACAAAGTGAAACAAGGGCCATAACTCTAGACATAATAAACGGAAATTGCTGAAATTCAATAGGATTTTTCTTTTTACTAATTTAAATGATGCATATAAATTTCATACAGATCAGCAGATAACTTTTGATGTTAGAGCGTTTCACAAGGTGCAGCAAAGTGAAACACAGGCCATAACAAATGATTGGTGGTGTAGAGCATGCTTACAGAAAATGGATTCATGTTTTTGGTACACTAAAGGAGTCCATCTCAACAAGTTACTCAACTTTATCACACTACCAGGCACAAAAGCAAATAGTAACATATGATTTTGCTGGAAAAGAGGTCAAAGTTAATACAAATGCATACTCAGAAAACAAGTTCTTAAAACGTACAGTTCTCACCATAATAATTTAACTGTGTCGTTTTCCAAATGATTCAGAGACCAACTGACTGAAATGTAACTCTTACGGCTAGACCAAATTTAACCGATCCGTAAACTGTGCGATAGTTAAACCCATGCAAAAGAAAAATTGGTAGTTTTAGATTTGTACTCTCATAGTTTGACTTGAACCTTGATCTATGAAATAACCATGTTGGTAACACAATACTGTCTAGTACTTAAAGGAGCTAAACCCCTATTCTTTGGCACCTAGAAATGGACACAAATGGGTCACAAAGCATAATAATGTAATGTATATAAACTGTTATTTCTAATCAATTACATTCCGCGAAATACCTGAGGAGTCTTTGGCACTTGGTTATTCCAGTCTACACTGGTCGTATTCTCATGTGGGGTATGTATAGCCTCGTTCATCAAGTCACTCAATTACAAATGGCACTGGAAAACATTCTGGCACGCGATTCTATGCCAATATTAAATTTTTATTTCGTCTGAAATATTGGATATCAAAAGCCCATCTTTTCACGGTAAGATAACATCAATGTTGATTTTAAATTGACCAGTAAATCTTGATTGCAATGTTGAAGGCTTGGATGATACTAATAGGCCGTTCAGACGCTTATTTTTAAACCAGTTCATAATCGCTGGGGTTTTTAAGACAGCATCGTGTTGCGTTCACACGTACTATAAGCCAAACCAGTTTAACTATTCTAACCTCTTCGGTCGGAGGTTAGAGTTAAACTACGCTTCATCTTTATTCGGTTCTCGCACGCGTTCGATAACATGAGCACTGTCTGACGCCGATATTTTCACAGGAATGTAACTTACTGGTACTGCACATGCCCAAAGCATGTTGATTTTAAATTGACCAGTAAATCTTGATTGCAATGTTGAAGGCTTGGATGATACTAATAGGCCGTTCAGACGCTTATTTTTAAACCAGTTCATAATCGCTGGGGTTTTTAAGACAGCATCGTGTTTTGTTCACACGTACTATAAGCCAAACCAGTTTAACTATTCTAACCTCTTCGGTCGGAGGTTAGAGTTAACTACGCTTCATCTTTATTCGGTTCTCGCATGCGTTCGATAACATTGGCACTGTCTGACGCCGATATTTTCACAGGAATGTAACTTACTGGTATTGCACATGCCCAAAGCAAGCTGGAGATGGGGTTTTAAGCCAAACCGTTCAGACAACTAAGATGAACCAGTTTAAAATAAAAAGCCTTCTCGAAGACAGGTCGCGAGCTGGGGGTTTTAAACTGGTTTATTTGCCCCACATTTGCGTTTAGACGCTTAAGTTAAACTGTTTTAACGATCCCCGGGGTTTTAAACCAGTTCAACTTAAGTGTCAGAACGGGCTATCAGTTAGAGACTTGCCTCCTTGAAACAATGTATATAGATATTACTGCATCAGTTTATCTCTAAAGTCTTTTGATAATTCACAAAGAAAGATATGATGAACCACTAAATGCGAAACCTAATAGTAATTTGTCATGTGACTTGAGACATTGAAACCATTTAAATAACTTATCTTTCAAATAGATAGACGTACCAGCACTGTGGCTTTATAAACTAGATGATAAAATGGGTGGGGCTCATCAGTATTATTTATCTTTAGATAAAGAGTTCACAGATGTTCATTTAACATAGTTCGACTCCCACCCCCTGTCAAACTCAAATAGGATACTGGTACAACTACAAGTACCGGTACAAGGAAAATGTTCCAGATGACAGCCCTTGATAATGATAGCTCTACTTCCGTTTATTGGCTACAACTGAAATGTTATATATGATAAACGATATTACAAAACCTGACATGTCATTATTATAATATTAATCAAAATCAACTGAGTAAAAATCTAAAAGGAAAGCACCTACTTCTTCTGACGTCAAAATTTGAGTTCACCTATTTGAGAATAACAACCTGCAGCGCGGACGTCAGTGAAAAGACTACGTACGGAACACGTGCCCTTTTAAGATGATTATAATAAAGTAGCTGATCGGGCCATAACGTAGTCCAAATCTATTACCTCATAAGACTCATAACCGTGGTGAACAAATAACCACGTCAATATTCTCTGAAAATACTGCTCGACAAATTAGGTGGCGTGTCTATGTTTTAGAACATTGTAGAAACATAATCATCATGAATCATCCGTTTACACCACACATTTAATCGATAGCCTTTGTCAGACATTTATTAAAAAACATAACTTCAATTACCTTATAAATAGCTTAACAGACGAAGCACGTGAGAGATGGATGAGTATTCTCGTGGACTTGTAACCTATTTGGATCTCCCGACGACTATTTTCTAATATGGCCGCCCCGTAGACAACTTAGACCGGTCTCACTCGATACTCAGTTGTTCCGCTCCGCAGACAAGCTGTTGTTCACTCTAGCGTGGCGGCTAATGTTCCGTTATAGAGGGCGACACTGGTCTTCGGCTTCGACCACGCCGATAGAAACGATTAACCGGTCTGAAAAAGAGGTTTACGTGTAGGATAAAGCACTAGACTGAGGTTATGCCGGGGAAAGAAAGACTGAAGAAAATAACCCGAGAAAAAGAAAAAACAGAGGCTAACAGGCTTATAAACGGTCTATGTTTACATGTAGGACCTACACGTAAATGAGAATATCCCAGAATTTAATAAGAAAAACATTATATAGTGTTTTCTTATGGAAAAAAATAACCCGTTACAAGGTTAAAAAAACATTCAGAAGAATTATATTTCCTCGTGTATATATTCAAAGCTGCCCGAATTTCAGACGGCGAGGTATTGCGGTCATAGAATACACCCCAAAGATCCAAGAGATTTACCGTTATAGGTTTATAATTTATGCTACAATAAAGTACTGGAAACGCAAAAATGAAATGAAATATGTGGTTTTATGGCACGTCAGCTCGAACCGGGCTATATATATTGCGCCAAACAAATGATGAATATTACGAGACAGGCTAAATTATATCACAGAAAAACATTATATGCATAAATAAAGCCAATATCACAGTTGGTAAAATTAAAAATAAAATACAACTTTTATGCATATAAATATTAAATATAAAAATGAAATGATATATATATATATATATATATATATTATGAAAATTTATGATAAAATCCTGTCTCTTTTTTAAAAGTCTAGCACTTTACCATATAAACCCGGTTGGGCAAACATGTGATGTAATGACTGACAGCGGTAAAATGCGATCTAACATCCTTGAGATGCGTGCACTCAATCAAAATGTGCTTAACTGTCAAAGGAACATGACAGTGTTCACATATTGGTTGAGGCTCTCGCTTTAAAAAAGTATGACCAATACGAGAGCGGCACAAAACAACCCCATCTCTCCTGTTAGACCTGTAGGAGCTAGGCCAATCTCCAAGGAGAGGTTTGATGGGATGAAGTTTATTTGTGTCTGCAAGATCCCAAGACCGTTGCCAGCGGTCATAATATATAAAATGTTTGATACAAGATTTAAAATCTGTAAAGGGTAAAAGAAGTTGTGATATGGGAAGATCTAAAGCAGACTTGGCAGCTAAGTCTGCTTGATCATTCCCTGTAATATCAACATGACTGGGGAGCCAGCAAAGGACTGTCCTTGCCGATAAACTCGTGTGATGGTAGCAGATGATAAATATCTGCTACTAATGGGTGTACAAGCTGTTTATTGTTTATTGCTTGCAAAGAGGACAGAGAATCAGTAAAAATGACGTGTTTTAAATTAGAAGATGATTGAATGAACTCCAGTCCCTGAAAGATGGCCTGGAGCTCAGCAGTAAATATGGAAGCAGCAGGTGGAAGTCAACCCGATCACCATCTTTGGAACCATCTGTGTAAATGGGAGTATAATCACCATATTTAGACCTCAGCTCTGGATAGAGAGTCTGAAACACCGTGGAACTAGTATCTCTCTGTTTGATTTTCGTTAGATCTAAATCGCTCTTTGGAGGCGATATAGTTTAGGGTGGAGTATTCGCAATACTGTCATGACTGATGCCAGCCTCTGACAAAAGGGGTTGGATGCGAATACCGAATGATGGATTAACGTTAGTTTTCAGTAAATACAGATGTTCATGATATGGTCTAAACATGGTGGTATATTAAATATGATGAGGCAGAGATGCAATTTTTGTAGCATACTACAGTGCCAGTTTATCACGTCTGTCGTGCAAAGAGGGCTCTCGAGCCAAGACGTATAAACTGTGCACTGGCGATGTACGAAATGCTCCTAAACTGATTCTAAGTCCTTGGTTGTGTATGGTGTCGAGCTGGAATGGGACTACCATCCAGTGTAAGTTCCGGATCAGGATGTAAACCTCTTCTTTGACAGAAGTGCATGCACACAGTCTTGGATTTCGAAAATCGAAATCCATTATCAGTTGAATAGAATTCAAGCAAAGCTGCAACTAATGTTCGATTGTCTGCATACTTGTCGATCTGTAACACATCTGGAAGTCGTCAATATAAAAAGAGCCGTCGACCCCACGTTTAAGGCACGTTGGTATGGTATTGATTTTGATAGAAAAAAGAGTAGGAGATAATATACTTCCCTGAGAAAATTGATCCCAAACGTACCTTAAACGACCTATCTTCTAAGAAGTTTTTAATGAAGATAGGTAAGCGACCGCGCAGACCGCGGTTATGTAGGTCGCGCATAATACCATATTTTCATGTGGTATCATTAGCTTTCTTCAGATCGAAAAATATAGCAACTAAATGCTGTTTCTGGATGAAAGCATCCCTGACAAACTTTTGAAATCTAACGAGATGACCAAGAGTGCTCCTCTGGGACCGAAATCCACATTGGAGATCTGTAATTAGGTTGTGGGACTCGAGGTATCGAACAGCCTTCGATTGATCAATCTCTCCATGGTTTAGCAAATGCAGCTGGTTACAGCGATCGGACGATAATTAGTCGGATTCGTAGGATCTTTACCCGGTTTAGGGATGGGAATTATGGTGGCTTCATGCCACGAAGGAGGGAAATTCCCATCAACCCAAACCCGGTTAAAAAGATCCAGTAAGATTAAGAGTGTAGAAAAAGGTAAATGTTTTAAAATCTGGTAGTGAATTTCATCTGGACAAGTTGCAGTATCCCGAGCTCGTTTAAGCGAATCACGGAGTTCAGCAATGGAAAATTTGTCTTTATAACTTTCATCATTACGGGACTTGAAATTTAGTCGCCTTTTCTCCTGTTGTTGTTTAATGCCTCGAAAGGCATTAGAGGATAAATTGGATGATGAATTGAATGAGAAAGTACTGGCCAGAGAATTAGCAATATCTGGAAATGTCGTTATTGTGGAATTATCAACATTTAGATGGTTAACTGATAATGCACTACTTTTACCTTTAATTCTACGAATCCGATCCCATCCATACCGATTTGGAAGTGGTACGGGAATTTATCCTTGAGACATAACCCTGCCATGAAGACTTCTTTGCTTGGCGTACGGTACTACGGGCCTTCACCCGGGCCATTTGTTATGCTGCAATATTCTCCATGGAAGGGTGATGCTCAAGGCGTCTTAAATACGACCACGCTCTTTGAGAGCGGATTTGGAATCGTTATTATACCATGGTTTATTGAAACGTTTGGGCACTACTTTTACCTTTAATTCTACGAATCCGATCCCATCCATACCGATTTGGAAGTGGTACGGGAATTTATCCTTGAGACATAACCCTGCCATGAAGACTTCTTTGCTTGGCGTACGGTACTACGGGCCTTCACCCGGGCCATTTGTTATGCTGCAATATTCTCCATGGAAGGGTGATGCTCAAGGCGTCTTAAATACGACCACGCTCTTTAAGAGCGGATTTGGAATCGTTATTATACCATGGTTTATTGAAACGTTTGGGCTCAGTCGTGGTCTGGAATCGCCTGCTCAGCCACATCTTGAAGAAATGAAGTGAATAAGGCCATGGGCTAATCTGCATCTTCTAACTCATTTGCATCAAAAGAGAAGAGATACAAAGATTCAAAAAGAGCCCAATCAGCCTTATGCAACTTCCACATCTGCGGTCGTTCAACCGGAGAAGGTCCATTATTTTCTATGAAGATCGGAAAATGGCCACTATCTCACAGATCCTCATTTACTCCCCACGTAAAATCCTGAAACAGGACCGGGGAGCTAATGGTAAGATCGAGGGAAGAAAAAGAAGCTGTGGCAGGATGTATATAAGTAGGCGAGTCGTCATTTAACAAACACAAATTATTAATGTTAATGAAGTCCGCTATTTCTTTACCTCTGTTGTTATCATCTGGACTACCCCAGAGGGAATGATGACCATTGAAATCTCCCTCTCCCGTAATTATAAATGGGAGAGGAAGTTGCGCAGAGAGGTCATCAAGATCTCTGGGGTTCAGATGTAAACTTGGTGGTAGATATACAGAGCAGAGTGTAATGGAAATATGTAGAGTCACCCTACCTGCAACTGCCTGTAAAGGCGAGTTGAGGATGACTTTACTCTGCGGAATATTTCCATTAAGAAAAATGGAAACACCACCATGTGCTCTACCATCATTATTAGCAAAATGATGATAGGCAACAAAATGTCTGAGTGATAAGAGATCTGAATTCTTTAAAAACGTTTCTCGTAAACAAATAGCCAAGGGATTAAATTTTTGAATTAAGATTTGAACTTCATTAAAATTTGGTTTAAGACCACGACAATTCCATTGCATAATGGAATTAGCCATGATCAGGGAGGTTTAACAGGTTTTCTATGATGTTGTTTGGGGTCATGTACATCTACAACAACATCCATTAGAGTGTCCTGTATCCCGAACCTGTTAAAGGTTTGGACAGGATCCTCATCACCCTTCCGACTTCGGAAGGAATTTAATTTTGACTTTTGAGGAACGCCTTTACCAGAACGTTTGTTGGTGGTTCTTGGTGGACTTCCACCTTTTGCTGGAGGAGTAGGGGGCACAATCTCCTCTATCTCCTCGGGCTTTTTAACAGTCTGAGTGTTGGGAGAATTATTGACGGGTTTTGGAGGTATTGGCGGTTTTTCTTTTCACGAAGATTCTGTCTCAGCTGGCCAGACAACAGGTGTTTGGCAAGCAATGGAAGCGGTCTTCGGTTTGACTGCGTTTGCAAAGGACATTGCAAACGTTGGGGTTGCAGCCTCAACCAACTTCCTTGCTTCACCTGTTTTCACCTGTTGTACTTGTTTTTCTTTTTTCCATATCGGACACTCTCTGGAATATGTTAAATTGGGCCCTTTGCAGTTAATGCATAGGTGATCGAGTTGACAAGATGTACTGTTGTGACCATCTTGTCCACATCGAGCACACATCGCCTTCGCCGTACACACATTTTTACTGACAATGAAAGCAACGCAATGGATTTGGGATGTAAGGGGAAACTGGAATGGCAAGAAAACCAAATTTGATCATCCTAGGTGTTGGTTTGG